TCTGCCGTCCGGAGAGTGGCTGTGTGGGTGATTGGAAGTCGCAGAAGCTCCTCCTCTAGGGATTTGGTCTGAAGTGCAGCAAAGTGTGAACAAAGATAAAATTATTCTTTAAAACCAATGGACTGTGGTGGTGCAGTTAATATAACTGGTAAAATTCTTTCAGATCTGGACTTCTCACTCTCAGTCTGTTGGAATCTCACTCAGACACTAGGTCCTCCTTCAGTCTTGGGAACTGCTCTGCAGGTGTTCATCTCAGCATCCCCATACTCTGCAGAGTTTGTCAGAATCTGTCAGGGAGAGACCACACTGAAGACAGACAAACTGCTTGTGTTTGGGAATCGGCTCTCAATGTTCTCAGTCAGTGCAGAAAGAAACAGCTCCCTCACCTGTAGAAAATTTGAATAACTTTAAATAAGACTGTTTACTCCAAATGAAATACTAGAAATAAAGTGGGCTATATATACACACACTATGATACTGACAGTCTTTCTGAACCTTTCCCAGACATCATCTTTGACATATGCAGGGAAATCATCGTGCAGAAGCTCCAGGCCAGTATCTGATTGCCAAATGGTCTCTGACTATGTTTCTTTCTCTCAGCGGTGTAAGGGATGTTTTCAGCACTGTAACCTGAGGTCAAATAAGAGAGCTCAGCTAGGAATATCATTCAATTAAGAGGAGAACCAAGGACTGTGGTACCTCATACCTCCTGCTCCACCAAAGAGAAGAAAAGGTTTCTCTTTTGGAAAACCAAGAACTACTGATTGATCTTCTCAGGCGCAGGTTGCATTACACACCAGGCATGGGGAGAGAACTCAAATTTGCTGCTTCATTCGGGAGGAATAAAATTAAATCGGCAATTTACTAGCTCCGTATATTATGAGCCAGACTCGCCTAAGTTGTTCAAAAGTTTGGGGTTACTTAGAAATTTCCATGTTTCCCATGAAAATATACATGAAATGAGTTTGAATAGGAAATATAGCTATAAATAATCATTTTTGAAATTAAAATAATAATTTTGTTCTTCAAACTTTGCTTTCATCAAAGACTCCATTTGCAACAATTACAGCTTTGTAGACCTTGGGCATTCTACAGTAGATGCCAGTTTGTTGAAGGGAATCTGATGAGATTTCACCCTGTGCTTCCTGAAGCATCTCCCACAAGTTGGATAGGTTTGATTGGTACTTCTTATGCACAATTATGTGCTGGCCACTCCATAATACACCGAATACCAGCTGACTACTTCTTCCCTAAATAGTTCTTGCGTAGTTTGGATCTCATCTTCAGTTTCCTGGCAATTTCATTCATTCTCATTTCTCAGAACAAGTATACACTGATGAGTTTCAGGAGAAAGTTCTTTGTTTCTGACCATTTTGAGCTTGTATTTGAATCCACAATTGCAGATGCTCCATTTAGTCTAAAGAAGACCAATTATATTGCTTCTTTAATCAGCACAACGATTTTAATCTGTGCAAACATAATTGCAAAAGGGTTTTCTAATGATCAATTAACCTTTTACAATGATAAACTTGCATTAGCAAACACAACATTCCACTGGAACACAGGACTAATTGTTGCTGATAATGGGCCTCTGTATACATATGTAGATATTCCATTACAAAACACCTGTTTCTAGCTATGATAGTCATTTACAACATTAACAAGGTCTAGAAAGTATTTCTGAGCTATCTGGTATTATTGTAATGGACAAAAAACTTGATTGGTTAAAGGAGTTTATTTGAAATAACAGGTGCTCCGTTGGTGTCGCCATTTTGAAATGGAATATCTGCGTGAGTGCGCATGCGCAAGCTTCGGACCATCTCAAAGATCATTTGGTCCATGGTGTTCAAACAGTCTGGTCGCATATACCACAGCTCCGGGACTCGCTCATTTCGCCTTCCAGCTGCCGTAGGACTATTCCTCCTAAAAGTTTGCTGGTTTAACACGTTCTTCAACCTACCACTGGTAAATACCGCTAAAGTTTTTAAGAGTGGTCAACCCCTGAAAAACAACCTCATACCATTATCCCTCCGCCACCAAATGCAGTCAGGCAGGCAATGTTCTCCTGGCATCTGCCAAACCCAGACTTGTCCATCAGACTGCCAGACAGAAAAGCGAGATTCGTCACTCCACAGATGATGTTTCTACAGCTGCAGAGTCCAGTCATGGGGTGCTTTACACCACTCCATCCAATTCTTGGTTTTATGCATAGTGATGTAAGCCGTGCATGAAGCTGCTCGACCATGGATGCTCATTCCATGAAGCTCCCAGTGCACCATTTTTTTGCTCGGGTTAATGCCAGAGGAAGTTTGGAACTCTGCAATTATTGAGTCAAAACCTTTGCCATCCATGAATCATTTTCATTTGTACGCAAGCGCCATAGTGTCACAACATGCAGGACAAATGACTTGAGGGCAGGGGTTTTTGGTGAAAGAAAAGGGGTTTAATGGGCTTAAACATAGAGGGCTAGAATGGGGATGAAAAAAGGTTGACACACAGGACTGAGAAGCATATATATCCTCCTGAGACCCAAGGAAAAAGGTGTCCTTCAATTTTAGGTTATTTGTCTTTGGAGGAAATAAGACATCTTACTATTTAGATTTTTTCAAATGTATTTTTATTTTTAATTTCACAGCATGTCTTCTTTAGTGTACAACAGGAATAAATATGTTTCCTTACATCAGTGAAAAGATAGATGCAAAAATAAAATGTTCAATACAATGGACATAAATGAATGGGTGGGGTCTCAGGAGGTTACACTAGACTAACAAGGGAGCTAACAAGAGGCAGCTGGCAGTGATTAACATGAGGGTTAGGAATGAGAGGTAAGACAAACGAGTAACAGGCATGACTTGTTAATGCCACGCTAGGGAGGAGAGAGGAGGGTCAGGTGGACATAACAGACAGCATGTGACAAATAATCCTCAAACTGAAACTGTCAAACACAAAGAAGTTTCCTTTTTCAGGATTTAGGAATAACAACTGCCAAGAAAACAATAACAATATTTGATGTTGAGCCTCCGGGTACCCTGCCAGTATAAACAGGTTTGCAAATCACGTTACTTAACATTAGTATAACATACATATGTAAAACTGGATTTGCAAGTCAGCGAAATAACACAATATACAACTAAAATGTGTGGGTCATTCTCCGTTTGGGGTGGGAAACCCTGTCATAGAGGCTGCAGGGTTTAAAAACATGCCAACAAGGGAGCCAAAGCGCCAGGGTTTTTGCATGTACATTCTCACGGTTGATGTTTTATTAAGTGATACCTCATGATTTATTAGATTTTCCTATTGTTTTCTGTTTCATAGTTGCTTTATATCTGTAAAATAGCTTGCCAAATTTTAACATTTGTGAAAACTTTTTAATATACATTTTTTTAAAAGGTTTAAATGATACAGTTGTATAAAACAGATCCATGTTTACAAAATACATTAACATTATATTGCATTCAAAAATATGTAGGTTGATTTTTGTCACTGGTGCTATATATTATATATATAATTTTATTTAATTTTCTCATGCAGCACATAACTTCTACATGCCATTGGTATTATGAGCTGTGAGGGGTGGATAATTGAAATTTTGTTAAAATAATGCAAGAAAATCTAAAAATGAAACTGAATTGTAGAAGTTATACTGTACACGCTGCCCTTTAGCCCATGTGGCAGCCAATTTACAAAATCCTCCATTTTAATCAAAAATGTCACTGGCGTCACACCTTTGGAACCTTTTATCGTTCATTTGTATTGTTTGCTTGTTGTTACTCTTACTTTACTTAATTTACTTTGCTTACTTACCTACAGCATAGACTGTGAAAACAAAAATGACTGCTGTCTGCATCTGCACTGCGAACCCATCATACTGTATTTGTACTACCTTACATATTTTTGCACAAAGTATTTAATAAACACTTGACATTTTTCCCTTTGCAGTGTTGCATTTATAATGTTGCTCTCTGTCTTTCCAATGAACTTTTTCCATCACTGGTGTTACATGTTGTCGTTGCTGTTATGGTTCTGTTATGACAAGGTGATTTTTTCTTTTTGATGAAATATTGTCCTTATTAAGTGTATGTTACTTAAAATGCAAAAAATGTCAAATGCAATTTTGGTCTATTTGTGTAACTCAACCTTTTGATTTGCATGTTTCTTGACTAAGAATAAATTCATTTTTTTGCAGAGTTGTATATGAAGCTATTTAACAATACATGCAGACGGTTATAATTTAGGATGTTATAAAATATGTCAGTAGAAAGAGTACAGTTAACAAAACAATTTAAAAGGGAATCCTTTATTAAATGCAGATACACTGAAACATACACTGAATATTAAAAAATCCATGACAAAAATAATGTCTCATGATGCAATAACACCAGTAAGAAACTGACCAAAACTTCAGATTTTACATTTAAATTTACATTTAAATACATTTGGTTTAAGAAAGTGGATCGATGGATATTTGGAATCAAGCTCTTAATTTATATGTATATATGGAGAAATTACATGTTAATAGACAAATGAAAGTAGTTTTTATTTTAAATTAATTAAATAGATTTTTTTTTCCAATTGTCACCTCAATTCCCACCTCTACAGATGTAATTTAAACTAAGAATATTAATAATAAAATTGGTGATAAATGATCGTAGCGTTTTCGTTTTATCTCATTGTTGGCCTTCATTTGTTTTGAATACAAGCAGTCTGTATGCCAGTTAATGATATATTTGTCAAACTTTTCCATCAAGTAAGAATAGCTTTGCTACTTTGTAATACTTGCCCTTGCGTCACATCTTCACTGCTTCTTCAAAGAGGTAACAACAGGTGCAATGCAAATTTACAGTTAATGACAAAACAGCCCTGTTTCCTTTATGTGGAGATGGTATTACGCACGCTGCATGCCTGAGCCTGCACACGTCTCCACCCTTCAGCGGCAACGAAGAGAGAGAATTTTGAGCGGGGAGGAGACTTTTGATGGTGCATGACCCTGGTGTGAAGATTGCGCAGCAGGTTAGTATGATCCGACTTCCAAGGCGACTTGAGACATTACTAAGCGGTTTCTGGACTCCTGTAGGCACCATGATCTCTTCTAAAAGAAAAAAAGATAAAGATCAAAGATGCTTCTTCTGGAGCTCAATCCCGTCTATAATCAGGCATGTATATCGAAGCATTTTTACCTTTTATTGTAAAGTCAAGTTTTTACTGTGATTTACACGCCAGCTAACCTAGACTATTTTTTCACATCCTCCTATACTGTACATTTACAATGTTTCTTTAAGAAAGCGTGTTTTGTTGTCAAATTACACCAATTAGATGACTAAAGAGAGCTAAGTATGTATATTATCTTAAAACACTTCAAATAATTTTAAATAAAGACAGGCAGTATAGCGATCGGACAATGTAACCCATAAATGCCCACAGGAGACCTCTGTGCACCGTATTCCAGCACCAATCAGGCATAGAATGTCTGTACCCTGGAACTGAGTGTTTTACACTAGTGTCCTAATTTATAAAAGAAGCATTTACTTGAATACAGTAACAAGTAACTCATATGCATAATTATTGGCAAATTATAATGAACTTATGTAACATTTTACATTATTGTTAATGTGATTTTGGGTACTAGAGTGATGAAACTGAACAAAGTACACTGGTTCAGATCCATTGGCTGACAGAGTGACGTCACTGTTGGCCCCTTGAGCAAGACCCTTAACCTCAACGGTTTTGGGGCCTGGCTGAGCCCGCTTTCTAAAATGTAAATCACTTCCGATAAAAGCTTCAGTTGTACAAATACAATTGTGTGATTCTGAAATCTGCAATGATATTTGAGACTTTACAGGTGAAATATTTGAGCGAGGTGTCTTCAAATTTCGGGGGGGGGGTTGAAACTCATTATTTTACTACCTGGCTACTTGTGTGGTTGGGATCAAACAAATTTGGGGGAGGGGTTCATCAAACCTGTAATGTTACTGCATGGCTATGTGGGTGATAAACACAGTACATAGCAGGGTAAACTCTGGGTACATAGCAGGGTAAACTCTGGGTACATAGCAGGGTAAACTCTGGGTACATAGCAGGATAAACTCTGGGTACATAGCAGGGTAAACTCTTATTTTCATCATTGTAGACTTGCACTTTTTGGATAATGGGATCATGTGACAATGACAGAATCACCATCGTTCCACTACCCACAACCACAATCAATATTTTTTATTGTCTTAAAAATGTACTTGACATTTCAAAAGCTGTACCCAGTAGTGGCAAGTGAGTGGTTTTCTGCAGCTGGGACTTTGTCACTGAATGAGCTTTTTACAACCAAAGTCTGAAATAATAAATGTTACCGAATTAATAAACATGGAATAAACGTTCCCGTCACAGCAGGTCAGCAAATTCTCCCGTATCTCGCCCTGTGTGCTCAGCATATATGTGCTATTACATTTTCCATCAGCCTGACTTCGAACTGCTTATCCAGTGCAGGTGAGCCGTGAGCCTGGCCCCTGTCCAGGAAGCACAGGCATGAAGTAGCGTCTGTTTGCATAAGAGCTGTTTTAGCACAGGGTGGGCTGAGGGGTTTGCATGCCTTATCGATAACCTTTGACAAACAGCTGTCATCGCTGAAGGGTTTCTGGCAGATCTGCAAATGATTCAGAAGCTCGTGAACCACACCTATAAGGGGCCGTTAGGGATTTGGGGTCCAGGTCAGGTCAGGTCAGGTCGGGGAGCATACACTGGTGCAGCGCGTTGCCGCACCCACCATAAAGTGAAACTCCTCAGGATCCTGGCCAGTGATCCCCCAGGCAGATACATGGTCCAGTCCCACTCACCGGAAATGGCCATCCAACTGCCGCAGCCAGGTGTTACGTGGGTGTCCCCTTGGCCTGGTCTAGCTGCTTGGGTCCTCAGCAATGAGCATGCTGTGAGCCGGATCACCCTCAGGGAAACGTGCCACATGGCCGTAATGCCATAACTGACGCTCCCTCACAATGCAGGTAATGTGCCTCATTCGGGACACAAAGTCAAACCAGCGGTACCCAAGCATTCTCCGAAGAGACACAGTACCGATGGAGTCCAGTCTTCATCTCAGGTCACTGGATAGCATCCATGTCTCACAGCCATATAGCAAGACAGGGAGCACCAGGACTGTAAAGACTTGGACCTTCGTCCTCTTGCAAAGATATCAGGAACGACACACATCCCTTTCCAGAGACCTCATGAGCCCCCATGCTCTTCCAATCTGTCTACTGACTTCATAGGAAGAGTCACCAGACATGAATGTCACTGCTGATGTAGGTAAATCTCTCAACAAGGTTGACATTCTCCCCGCAGACAGACACACTACTGATGGCTGTGCCCAAGAAGTCATTAAATGACTGGATCTTTGTCTTTAACCAGGATACCCGCAATCCCATTGCCAAACCTGTCCGTTGTTGCCTATATGTTGCTTAAAAATAAATATTTTCTGAGTGGCAATGTTGCCATTGCTCATATTTCTTTATGATATAAGGCTTCGGTTTAATGTGACGTTTGTTAGGCATGCAGATTATTTGTCCCTCTTTTAAACTGGAGCGAGCGTGGAGCGATTTGACTGGAGCGGGAGGACGTTTTAGTGGAGCGAGGAGCGATGTTGAGCGGAGCGACTTAGTGCGAATTAGAGCGGAGGAGTGGGCGGAGCCAACAGCCTCGTGAGCGAGGAGCGGAAATTCTCACCGCTCCACTCCTCTCACATGCTCTGTAGCCTACTGGATCTAAGCTGAATCTTCAGAGTAGCAACAACAAGTCTGTGGTCAGAATTCACAAACTGGACACTTCTGTAGACCCTGCAGTTCTGCAGGAGCCTCCAGCGTCTGCCTACAAGGATGTGATCGATCTCTTTCGCCACACCAACAGTATTGGAGTACCAAGTCCAATGCTACAGCTCAGGGCCTTGGAACCAGGATCCAGTGACTCGTAGTCCCTGACCTTTCACAAAGTCAATGAACATGGAGCCACTTTCACCACGGTCTCCAGACCCATGGGGACCGATACAATCCTCATAGCCAACCCTGTTAGTGCCAGTGGTCGTACTGAAGTCACCCATAATACGCTCGTTGAAAGGAGTGACATCAGACACCATCAGAAGGAGCTGATCCACTACGGCAACAGCTACTCACTGAGTTTGGCAGCCATCAGACCGACCAAACCAAAAGCAGATATACCCACCTACAGAGATCTGGCCATTCCCCGGTCTGCATACCTCAGAGAGTGCTGCCACCAAAACGCGGAGTTTACGAAGCTCCCCTGGCAGCAGAGGACGGTGGTCATCTTGCCGGAGAGACAAGACGTTCCACGCGCCCACCCGGATGGGTCGCCTCAAACTGGGACCCAAGTGCCACCATGCAGCAGGCGACGCCTCAGCACCACACCAGCCCCCATCCCCAACAGGCCTGACCCTATTAGCTCTCTGATTGTTTCCACTCATCCAAGGTGGGGGCTCCCGAAGGCTTTGAGTACCCCAGGTACTCAAGGGGGCTTTGGAATCCCCCCAACTTTCACCCCCGCATACACGTGGCTAACTTTGCTTTTGACCATATACCCGGGCACACTGCTCAGTATTAGAGGGAACACTGCTGTTCACATGATCTGGTCAAATGTCACCATGACATGAAACCAAGAGCTTCAGTCATCACAGGTTTGCAGACCAGAAGTGAATTAATCTATTTTATCATGGAAAAAAAATGTTTTGTGTTTTTATTGGGCCTAATCCAGTCAGGGGTGGGACAGGAACACTTGGTACAGTGGAAAGATCAGGAGGATGAGGAAGATGCTGAGCCCTGTGCAGGCCTGCAGTTAAATAAATTTTGTTGAGTGCTTGGCAAAAATCCACTTCTGTAGGGTTTGCCGACTGGGGTGGCCATTTTGCCCGAATGATTAAAAGTGCCCCCTTTTGATGTTCTGAGTGGACTTTTTTGATAGTGATAATCAAAATGTTCTGGTGACCCATGCCCACCCCCTTCAAATCCCTGCGCCTCAAATAGTCTGTGCCCGTCACTGGTACCTGGCTATGTGCCTGGCTAATTGTCAGTGGTATGCAGAGGCAATTCTGCAGACTCTGGGGGTCTTAGGCTAAAAACTCCATGGGCCCTCCAACTCCCCCACCCCCACATGGTAACATTTATTACCTTTATTTTTTTGTGAATGTAAATTAATACAATCAACAAAGAGAATTTATTAACCACACTACCTTTATTTTCAATTTTGTGAAAAACAGAAAACACAAAAATACATTATATTGCCAAAAGTATTGGGACACCTGCTTTTACACACACATGAACTTTAATGACATCCCATTCTTAATACATAGGCTTTAATATGAAGTTGGCCCAACCTTTGTAGCTATAAGAGCTTCAACTTTACTGGGAAGGCTGTGTGCAAGGTTTAGGAGTGTGTTTATGGACTTTTTGACCATTCTTCCAGGAGAGCATTTGTAAGGTCAGGCACTGATGTTGGACGAGAAGTCCAGGCTCGCAGTCTCCGCTGTAATTCATTCCAAAGGTCTTCTATCGGGTTGAGGTCAGAGGTCTGTGCAGGCCAGTCAAGTTCCACCAAACCACACACTTGTGCGCAGTCATGTTGGAACAGGAAGGGTCCATCCCCAAACTGTTCCCAGAAAGTTAGTAGCACGAAATTGTCCAAAATGTCTTTGAATGCTGCGGCATTAAGAGTTCCTTTCACTGGAACTAAGGGGCTAAGCCCAACCCTTGAAAAACAACCCTACACCATAAACCTCCACTAAACTTTACACTTGGCACAATGCAGTCAGGCAAGTACTGTTTCTCCTGGCAACCGTCAAACCCAGGCTCATCAATCAGATTTCCAGCGTGATTCACAAGCGTGATTCATCACTCCAGAGAACACGTCTCCACTGCTCTAGAGTCCAGTGGCACTGTGCTTTCAACGCTTTGCATTGTGCTTGGCGATGTAAGGCTTGGATGCAGCTGTTCGGCCATGGAAACCCATTGCATGAAGTTCTCTATGCCCTGTTCTTGAGCTAATCTGAAGGTCACACGAAGTTTGGAGGTCTGTAGCTATTGACTCTGCAGATGGTTGGCAACTTCTGCACACTGTGCGCCTCAGCACGCATTGTCGCCCACTCTGTAATTTTATGCGGCCTAAGGAAATTTCACGAATGGACTTATTGCACAGGTGGCATCCTATCACGGTACCACGCTTGAATTCACTGAGCTCCTGAGAGTGACCCATTCTTTCGCAAGTGTTTATAGAACCAGTCTGCATGCCTAGGTGTTGATTTTATACACCTGTTGCTATGGCAGTGATTGCAACACCTGAATTCAATGATTTGGAGGGGTGTCCCAATACTTTTGGTATTATAGTGTAGCAGATTTGTCATTGCATTGTACTTTGTAATCGGTCACCCTCGGGGGCCCCTTCCAGCGTAGGGCCCCAGGCCATTGCCTGCCCTGCTTGTCCTGTCGCTGCACCTCTGATTGTATGTGTTGGACATGCCACAGGGTAAAAAGACAGAAACACCTCATATAGTATTACTATTTTCTTTTTTCAGATTTATTTGTGGTAATATTACCACCTCAAATCTTGACACAAGAACTGTTTTTTTAAAAAAAACACTATGCAAGTAAAAGTAGGGCTCTCTGTGATTACTTTATATAAACCAGGGGTGTAACCAGAAATTAATTTCGAAGGGCCAGCAGCCCTTCTGATTGGGCTGTACTGATTGACCGGGGTGGGGGGGGTTCAAACTTATAATTTTATGACCTGGCTACATGTCTGCTTTGAACCACAGCTAGTAAAATTCAGTGTTTGGCCAGTTTTAAATGTTACAGGTCCTATCAGATTTAAGTGGTGAATTTTTGCAGATAACAAATGCAGTCTATTGTAAAAGTGCGAGAAAATGGCGGCTGTTTTAAAAAAAAAAACAAATAAAATGTTGGATAGGACAGATTACAGATTCTGTACAGGTTTGACCGTTTCTGTCTTACAGATTTTATGCTTCAGTACTCTCTGTCTGCTATTACAGTATATGTTAACTTGGGTTAGCAGGGGCAATCCCCCCCCCCCTTGGTTATTGGGCCTCTGAACAGGTGGAGTGGACTCTGAGTTGCACGCAAGTGAATCCTCTCTTTAGGTAATTTTTTAGCTTCAGAATGCAGGTGGCAAACTGCACTCAGGAGGATCTACAGCTTGAGGCAACTTCTGTTATCTGCAACGGGTAGTTTAGGGTTAAGATTTGTGTATGAAGTCTTGTTCATTGTCTTATCTTCTCTTTTTCTGTACATTTTCATTGAGGCTAGAGCTTGTTTACCAGCCTAACTGTTGAAGTAATGATACAACAGGGATGACATAATTTAGTAACCATCCTGCACCTACCTGAGGTAGCTGTCACTGTGTAGAGGGTGTGATCTGTCTTTGTTTGTAATAAATTATTTAAAATACTAGCTAGAGGCTGTTTATAGTTCTTGAGTAACTTGACACCTAGTAATTCTTGATCTCTGAGATGAAATTATTTTTTTCCAGGACAAACTTGAAAATTCCAGGATGACCCCAGCCCCCCAAAAGCACTGCAACTTACTATTTGCAGAAATAAGCATGTATATTTCCACTAGAATCCCCACACAAATGTTTTCTGTTCTCGTAGCTCACCTAGTGCAATATTGCGCTAATAACCCATCTGTCATCAACTCAAATCCCAGAGAGGAGACCCATAGTGTAACTTTGCATTAGAGTATGTGCAACTGTGTAGTAGTTCGCTTGCATCCAATAAAGCAAGTTCTGTAGCTTCTTTTAAATGAATGACCTAAAATATAGGAAAAAATCTTATTTCACATACAGTGTCACATAAATGAAAATATATTTGTAAAGCATAAATTTCATATACTGTACACACAATTTCTTGACATTGTTTAACTTACTCTTGAAATTCATGCTAAAATACATGAGTGAATCAATGCCTTTATTGTTGATGCACATGGTACATTGAAACTGTAAGCCTAGACTTGTTGGTACAAGGCCAGCTAGACCAGTTAAGCAGCCTAGTCAGTTAGGAAAATCAGGTGCAAATGTCAGTACTCTGAGTAAGGTGAACGGCAAAGGGGGCTGGCTGCAGTGTAGACAGTGGAACACGATCAGTCCTTACAAACTCAATGAAATTCCCTGGGTTCAGGTTGCGTGTTCACTCTGTTGGCAGGGGTATCTGTTTTATCAGTCTATACCTTAGGCCTGGCCAATTACTCTGTCAAAAAAAGTGGTTTGGTTTCTTTCAAATAAGCCATTTATACTATTTGCTTTTACTTACTGTGATTTGCACTTGTTTACTAACATAATCTTACAAGTGCCTGTGCTGTGGGGCTGCATGAATTAGTAATCATACTGCACATGCTCAGCGTAACTGTTGCTGTGTAGAGGGTGTGACCACCCTGCATGAAACGCATCAAAAGGCACTTCTGTGAGGTGACGTTATTATGATGTCAGCTCCCTCCCTCTGGCTCACCCTTGTGGGTGGAGTCCTAGAAAGCAGCACCTACTGACAGAAACACTTGCTCTTACTGCCCCCCCCCAACACACACACACACACACACACACAGAAAGAAAGAAAAGGAAAAGTTACAGTTGACAGCATCCTAAGCCTTTTGGCATTTTTTGTTTTTTGATTGCATTCACAGATCTTTGTGGGGACCTGAAAATGGTCCCCACAAAATCAAAATAACAGGTTTTTATCACATTGTGGGGGATGTTTGGGCCCTACAATGTAATATAAACCTAATCCACACACACACACACACACACACACACACTAACCTGTGCTCTATACATTCAAACAACACCAAACATACTGCATGAAGACATACAGTAGGTACACACATGTGGGTATACACACACACACACACACACACACACACACACACACACACACAGAGGTCTCTCAGAGAAAATGACTGCAAAATCAAAACCAGCTAAAAGTTCACTCCCTGTTCTATAAAAACTCATGATATCTGTGCATTGCAATTAAAAACTTGCCGATGCTCTCTATGCTTGGGATACTGTAGCATTACACATTTTACACATTACAAGTCTTCTACCTACCTACATTTTGCTGCTCTGTGAAAGTCTGTTTTTGGGCAGAGCCGCGCAAGATATGCAAGCTGCAGTGGATAACAGTGGATTACGGCTAAGAACGTCCCCCTTTAGTGGACAGGGTTGATCAGGTCTGCTAATTTGAGCAAGCCGATGAACAGATCCAAAAAGTCAGTGTTCTTTAATTGCCCGGGACTCGCCAAGTTCATAGAAGGTGTAGTGAAATTTCATGTAATACATTTTTGAGTCTCACATTAATGCAATTAGCACAAAAGGCAAAAAAACTAATGAATACTCGTGACAAACACAAACACGTTTCCATGGTTTTGGTGTTTTTTTCAGAAGCAGATGTGAAAATTGAAAACTTTGTGCTGTTTGTAGCCACAAGATAAAGTGCTATGATTACATGTTATTACACTTACATACATGCACACATGCACAAACATATTAATGGCTTAGAGTAACTTCTTAATATCTGCTTAACTATTGAGTCTTTTCCTGCTTTTGATTTATGTAGCTATCACCACCTAGTGATAATTAAAAAAATAAGATTAGTAACCTGCATACAAACACACACAGACACAACAGTTGCACCATATAAGGTGGTTGCTTTAGGTTTAACAAGGGGAAAACTTTTTGGATCATTGCTGCCCCCTGTAGGTGGCTGAAGGGAAGGCTGTGGACTCGCCTGCGCTTTGTGTGGCTGGGTCTCATGTTACTGGGCCTCTTCTGCGTGGCCATTCAGCTGCTGGATGTGGTCAGGCTGTCCAGGTAAGTGCCAGTGCTTCAGGAATTTTAAGACCACCGTTTGTGCTTTGTGACTGAGAAATACCTGGAGAGTATACAAACTCCACCCACACAACCAGGGCTTAGAAATAAATTCATAACCTTGGAGGTGAGAGGCTAGGGATCGAACATGGAGCTCCTGCACTGCCATAGTCACGTTTTTCTGATGATTTTCTTTTTAGGAAGAACGAAACTCTGAATGAGATTTTCAATAAGAATTTCTTCAACATGAAGTTCCCCTTTAATAAATGGTCTGACGGTGCACTGGTCTCAGCAACGGGCAGAGTGATGGACGGTGAACCAAGCACACGACTTGCCACCAGACCAGCAATGCAGAGGGTGGCCTCCTGCCAGCCGAAGAGACACATCTTTTTCCTGAAGACGCACAAAACTGGCAGCAGCACCATTCAGAACATCCTCTACCGCTATGGGGACAGCAGGAACCTGACATTCGCTCTGCCTCCTGGCAAGCAGAACCAGTTTGCCTACCCCGACATGTTCTCGGCTGATTTTGTTCAGGGTTTCCTCTCGAAGTTCATCCCAATATATCACATTATGTGTAACCACATGAGGTTTGTGCCACATGAGGTGAGTACTTCTCTGGGCCGATTCACTCTTACTGCAGACGTGGACATGCCACTTGTGTAAGCCATAGTGCCAGACCACCTGTGCTCCTGAATGTGTGCACTTCATGTGCCGATAAGCCAGACAACCATGTACTTTGATGCCAGGCCTTGGGTGGCGCTATAGAGCAACGCTGATCTTAAGTCACACTCATGAAGTGTGGTATGGATGTTATACTAAAAATTAGAATTTTACTAAAACTAACCATGCATTATGTACTTAAAGTATGGTAGGACATAGACAAGTATTTGGCATTGCAGTTACGAACATGTATTGCACTGTAGTGTGCAGCCCACTGGGAATCTTTATAATCTCATAGTGAGGAAGCCTGTATTTTTCTGCTTCCTCAGCCAACCTTTCTTTGAATCCACTTGCCATGGTTATCTGCAGTCTGATCAGAGAGGGTAGAAAAGATGTTTATTTACAGTCCCGATTTCCTTTCTGACTTTGTGTAGTACTTTTCTCCTGGCTAATACAAGCTAATACTAATCAGTTGAAACGGTTGCTAGGCAATTCTCATGAGACTCGTAAGACCCATAGGAGATGGGTTTTATAATTTATTAATGTATTATTATTTCTTCTTTAAAATGTATTCAATGTCATTATTGGCCACTGGTATAACTGTTTTGTTGTTGAATTTATTTCATTTGGTGTAAATTTTAAGCTATGGAGTTTCATTCCCCTAACCCTATTTTCTGATTGGATATGTATATTTTAGTACGTGATTTTTGTGAAGGCGAGATTTTTCAGGAGCGCATTAGTCGCATTGTAGCAGGACTGACTGCATCTCCATTGTGAACTTGCTTTATTGGATGCAAGCGAACTACTACACAGTTGCACATACTCTAAGTATAACTGTCTATTTTCTAGAAATGGCCAAAAACAACGCCTCATGAACTATTTAGCGTATTTTTTGAGCCCAGTTGCTTTGAGCCCTTTTTTGAAGACAGCACCATCTAGTGGGCTCTAAAAATACCGCAAATGATTTAGAAATTATTTTTGCCATCACTACTATTTTCTAAGGAAAATATATTTTAATGTCCCTAATTAATCTATAAATATAATATTATAAAATAATTTTTGCATGTTTTTTAATCTTTCCTAAACAGGTAAACAAGGTTATGCCAGTAGACACATTCCATTTCTCCATCTTGCGAAATCCAGTATCTATGATGGAATCCATTTTCATGTACTTCAAAGCTGAAATATTTCAGATGGTCAACAGCCTAGATGAGTTCCTGGCTGATCCAGGGAAGTTCTATAACACATCATTGCCCAGCAGCTACTATGCGAAGAACCTCCTTGCCTTTGACTTTGGCTTCAATGAGATGACGCAGGCCCAACTTGCCATCAGCCTGATTGAGAAAAACTTTGACCTCATTCTTCTGTCGGATTACTTTGACGAGTCCATGATCCTGCTAAAGAATGCCCTTTGCTGGACACTTGATGATGTGGTCTCCTTTAAGATAAACAGCAGAAATAATGATTCCAGGATGAAGCTGCATCCAGACACTATAGACAAGATCAAAGTGTGGAATTCGTTGGACTGGAAGATCTACCTTCACTTCAACGCCACCTTCTGGAGGAAGGTGGACATGATGGTGGGGCAAGAAAGAATGAAGCAAGAGGTGGCCATGCTAAAGCAGAAAAGGGAGCAGCTCATGAAAACATGCCTGCTGGAGGGGGGGGCTGTGGATCCCTCTCAGGTGAAGGAACAAGACATGACACCCTTACAGTATGGTGCTGCTGTCATCCAAGGTTATAACCTCAATCCTGAACTGAAGGGACCAATCAGGAAGCAGTGCCTGGGCCTGATCACCCCTGAGCTACAGTACACAGTAGCCCTTTATGAAAAACAGTTCCCCAGTATTCCTTCAAATGGGACTGCAATATAACGCCGGTTTCACATTAAGGCTGTTCCTAGAGACTAAGCCCCAAGGTGAACACAGAAGGACAAAGTAGATTGACTCAAGGGGGTCTGCGGTGACAGGATCCCAGCATCCGCCACCAAAAGATCTTCCCCAAAGTGCCGCCCATGAGAAGCCTACTAAGTGTGCCTTGAAGAGTGACCCTAGGCAGAAGGGAGGTGTGCATTTGGCTGTGCCAAACTCCGTGCCATAGTCTGGTAATCAAGTTAATCCCACAGCTCTGGAGAACAAAACATTAAACACCGGTGATTCCCTGTACCCTGGGTTGGATGCACTTTGATACTTAGGAAGTGACTGTCTCGACATTTTTTGAACTGTCTGGTATATAGAAGAGCACACTATATTGAAAATATGGGTTAAAATTTATGGTGTAGTGTTTCCTCGTCTGGTGTGTCTATTATCGTGTTAATCTGAAAGGGCCTGGTTCATAGTGATATGTTTATTTTAATCATGCAACAATTGCCTGTCCACTTACATATTAGTCACACTCAGTGAACTCGTAGATTCAAGCGTAGATCATGACCATCACATCATAGCTTCTCTATGATTAAAAGTTAATACTGTATACTGTGAATACTGTAACAACATCATGCAATGTGAAGTTTTTTCAACTTTGGAATTTTTGGTACACACCATAAATCATAAAGCTACTGTCCTTAAGAATTAATTTGTAGGTACATGGGGATAGAACACTAGAAATAAAATTTCTATTAAAATATGTATTTTTTAAAAACCTTTGTGCATTTTTTTATCGTATGTATGGCTTCTGAATGTATGTGTGTGATTGACTGAAGCTCTCAACGACAGTCCGCACCTTTCGCTGATCACACAGCGACGTGAAGCAAGTCTGCCACCTGGTGGAAGAAACCTGCGCTACAGACCAAAAAATTAAGCGCTCCTTTACTGTACTCGCGTGACCTGGAACCAGAACCCACTGTGAAAAGCATGGGGGTCAGAAAGAGCAGTGACTTTAAATCCCAAACAAAAAAACCTCAGTTATCAAAGCTGGCTTTTTTCAGCTGAGTACCGAGTGACCTTTTATCTAATGTCAAGCCTTTTTTTATCATTTAATGATTTTGAAAGGGGCATGCAGGTTTTTGTCTCACACCGACTTGACCATGTAATGCCCTTCGTGTTGGTGATAGTCAGAACTCCAGGTTTTTACATTCCATCTTATGACACATTTTTATTCCTTGGCATTTAACTCAGTAAGAGAGCTGATTTCTTTTTCTGTTTTATTGTTACGGTCTTATTAGATTTTTGCAGCACTTCAGACAACTATTGTTCTTATTCATTGTGCTTTTTAGATTAATTTTGACTTCTCACTTGGCTTGACTAGTAGAGGAATTGAGGGAGCAGATGGGTCTTGAGGTGTTTTTTGAAAGTGGAGAGGGAGTCTAATGACTGGACGTGGTTTGACATCTCGTTCCACCATCAGGAGCTTGTGAAGACAGACATGGAGGGGAGTGACGTGATAATGTTTAGGCTGATTGAATATCAGACATGCTGCCGCATTTTGAATCATCTGCAGTGGTCTGATGGGCGTGAGCTGGAAATCCTGCTAGTAAGGAGTTGCAATAGTCTAGTCATGAGCTAACATGAGCTGAGCTGCATACTCAGTCAGAAAATGCCTGATCTTCCTGAAGTTATACCAGGTGAAGTCCGTTGTTATATGAATGAATGAATGTTGCATTTATATATCGCTTTTCAGGACACCCAAAGTGCTTTACAGAACCAATGGGGAGCCACTTCAACCACTATCACTGTGTATAGCCCCCACCTGGATGATGCGACGGCAGCCATTCTGCACCAGTACGCTCACCACACAGTAGCTAAGGTGGTGAAGGGGCAAGAGGAAAATTCATCAATTAGATATAAGGGATGATTAGGAGGCCAGATGTGAAAGGCCCACAATGGGCAATCTAGCCAGGACAGTGGGGTACCACCCTTACTCTTTCGAAGGGTGTCCAGGGATCTTTTATGACCCTAGGGAGTTAGGACCTTGGGTTTATGTCTCATCTGAATGATGACACCATTTTTACAGTACAGTGTCCCCATCACTGCCCTGGGTTATTGGGATCCACACAGACCACAGGATGGGTTAACCTGTTGGCCACACTCAGCAAAGGATAGCTGGTCTTCTAACATTACTCCTAGTATCCTATAAGACCTTAAGGTAAACAGTGTGAATTATTCAAATTGAACAGTGATGTAATGATGGATGGTAGGTCTGACAGTGAAGAAAAGTAGCTCAGTCTTAGAGATTTTATGTTGGAGGTGATGGTCCCTCATCCAGGTTTGCAGTTATCCTAGCAGTGACAGTGGTGTTGTCTGGAAAGAAGGTCAAGCAGCTCTGGATGTCACTGAAGTAATAGCAGTAGGGGAAGACATGCGACTGGATGATCTGACCTAGAGAGGTAATGTAAAGAGAGAAGAGAGGACCAAGGACTGAGCCTTGTAGAACACTGGCTGTTACCTGATGTGATCTGGACACCTCTGCACCCAAAGCCACTTGAAATCTGTCTAGGTATGAGTCAAACCAGCGTGATGCTAAGTTGGCATAACCGGACCTTAAGGTTTTCCCACCTGCTAAATCTCTGGATTAATGCCATATCTTTAGGTGGTTTCCGTAGCCGACGTTATATTACCAGAGATCCCACCTTATGCATGTTAAAAGTTGCTGATCGGGGAGGATGGTGATCAGTCGAATGGGCCGATGAGTGCATTGGATCGTTTTTAATTCGATGTGGACAGCTTTCTGGGACATCGCGCATCAGTGTCAGGGATGTTGCTGTTGAGTTGCGGGCGACCGCCTGAGCTTCCGTGAGAGCTGGGATGTCTGCATTTGGCACAGCATTGGAAGATGGGCCCTGAAATGTAAACTGGAGCCTGTCTGTACCAGTTAGCAGTTAATTAATCAGCAGTAGCCTCGAGCAAACCGCGCCCCAGAAATTCTCATCTGGCGGAGCTTTGCAGGCGATCTACGGTGAGTGTCTGGGCATACCGGGTCCCCCTATAGTCTCAGCAGTGACGTCTGCCAAAATGTTGGCTGCAAATGTGTGCTCCGTGTTTAGCGCACCAGCGAGCCCATTAACACGTGTTTAGTGCAAGTTACGGCTCATTATTTATATTGGCAGACCGATCCGCCATTCTCTAAAATGGAGCAAACTCATAACCTTTTTATCCAAGGTCATGTATTATAAAGTAAATAAGGCTAAATAAGGTTGTTGAAGAAATCCCTGGGCAGCTTTGAGCATTAAGCAGAGGATTGTGTCTGGCTGGGGGGCATCCAGTCGGGGGTGTCGGATTTCATGGGCCATTGACTCGTTGAGAATAAGTGCGATCGAACTTGAAGACAAATTACCTTGGATGGAGGTTAGAGATTGACTGCTGTACTGGAAAACGAACCATGCCGTGAATGTTGTTTTTTTTTAAAGTCTTTCATGCAGTCTACTTCTGGTGCCTGCAGCCTCAACATACATCAGCGAGAGCATATGTCCACTTTATCTCTCTCTCCTTCGCACTTTCCATTTCCCTGACAACCCCAACAAACGCGCGCATCGCTAAGGCAAGCATGAGATCTCCATGCCACCCGACCATCGCTGGTCCTTTAATTACGGACGTTTTATGAAGTGGCTGTCATTTCCCAGGGTTTCAAGTGAGCGTTACACGTTCCTACTCCCAGAGAAGTGGTAAAACCGTGGTGAATGTCACTGTGACATCTGCAGTCGCAGAGACACAAAGCAGGTGCAGTTTTACATGGCAGAGCAATAAATCCTACTCACTCATGCGAGATAATAAGAAAAACACCCATTTTATTATCTAAGAAATAATTAATCAGCAATGAAAGTCTGCTTTAGCAATTTGTTCAGTCTCATGCATCCATGTTTTATTCAGCCCAAACCAGTCCAGCTGTTTTGAAGAATCACACATCTGGTGAGGATTCCTCGGCGGAGGACGGATAGTGCGGTCTGAATGCTGCTGATATGACAGCACTGTTTTCCTCTTGTTTTGGATTGTGGATTAACCAAGGTGTGCTTTGCCAGCCCCCACCAGCGGGAGGGGTCCTCAGCGGGGTGACAGGGAGATCTGAGGGCTGAGGACCCCCTAGGTTGAAATATTGCTTTGAGTGACATCTAGCAGAAGGGATCCAGTGATTTCTCTGTGAACGTGGGGCCTCAGGTAACTCGTCGTGTTGCTTTGCCCCTTCCAGCCCTGACCAAGCGCCTCATAATCACTCACCTCGTGACTGCCCCCTGGAGTGCTTTGACAGTAGTGCAGTGGCCTTTAATGACTGTGCAGCTGGCTCTTCAGAGTATGTGTTGGAGCTTGGGCACGCTGTGTGATGCTGGCCCCGGATTCATAGTGCCTCTTATCTCCTTCTGATGCTCTCTTCTCGCTTCAAGTGCTGGTAGAAATTCAGCTCTCATCTTTTATTTTTGTGATTCTAGCCACTGTGGAGAAATGGCTGCTGGGAAAAGCGGTCCCAAACCACACATCCCTGATCCAGATGGTTCCTGCCTCCCACCACAGCCCCTCAGATTGGGTTTCTTTAACAGTTATGACTAAAGGTAAATTCCTTTAATTATTCAATAGCTACAGTGTCATAAATGGGAAAGTGGTGCATTGTGGGAAATCCACAACAACACTGCACCTTCGAATGCAACTGATATAATGGGCAAAGAGCTTTAAATTACTGGGTTATAACCTTGGCCTTCTTTATGCCCATATGGACATTCACCACAAAAAGCTCATTATTCATGAAATAATTAGAGGTGCACCTGTTACAGTGTGGCATACCTTAATATGTGTCTATGTGGCTCTGTGTCTTTTCTGTGTGTGTGTGTGTGTGTGTGTGTGTGTTTCCATCTTGGCCGGACGGCTGGTTTGTAGCTCTTCAGCCTGACAAAGTGCTTCATTAAAGAGCCTAATTTCCCCTTATGAGGCTTGATGACATGAGGGGAGCGTGGCTTTCCATTTTAATTACATTCTCTTAGAAAAAAAGATTAAAAGCAGACAGTCTTCTGTTCGACAGCATTTGCTGTCAGTGAAAGGAGTAATACTCTGTTTGGGCACATTAAATGATAAGGTTTCTGTTAAACAAATACATGCCATTTATTATGTCTCAAAACACAATGAAAATCAGTTTTAAACTCTGCCATAATTAGTGTAATGTGCCTATTAGTTAGCCCTGTTTTCTCCAGATAATGGAGCATAACAGTATTAGTTTAACAGTATTATCTCTGAGTATCTTTGTTAATAGAGTCGTATCATGGACAGTAGCTCAAAACAGGCAACCTAAGAGTGTGTACCTGCTAGTAATTTCACCACTTTCTCTCCAGAGTAGATGTTCTGCACTAAGCTCACCAAAAGCCCCTTCGTCCCACACAAGAGACCCCCTTTTTCAACGGCTCTGGGCTCCAGAAGTGCGCTGATCCAGCAAGAAACCTTCCCTACGCTGCAGGAGGGGACCACAATCCCACAAACACGGCCTCACATCTTCCTCCGCCTTCGATGTCTGACGAGATCAATGGCAGAAATCAATTAGCATTTCCCCTCTGCTCACTGTTCAAAGAATCGCATGTGGCTGGCGCGCAGGATGTCTCTGAAAGATATTCCGGAATGTTCTGGGACAGCAGCAACTGTGGTGTTACTCTGAGGACTATCCTCTTCACTTCAGAAGAACATAGGCAATGACGCGAGGGGCCCCCACGCCTTCTCCAACCCCCCAAA